GCTTCATCAGGACAGCTTTTTGCAGTTTCATCATTTGTACTTCAGATTTAAACAAACTCAGTCCTGGGCTGCAGAGATGACTGAGCAGTTAAGAGAACATTTTGTTCTTACAGAGGACCTGGGTTTGATTCCCAGCACCCACATAGCAGTTTACAACAATCTGAAACTTCAGGAGATCTGATGCCCTCTTCTGGCCTTTGTAGGCGTGTGATACAGACATGTAGGCAAACACCCACACAAAATATAAAATAAAAAACTACTACTACTACTACTACTACAACTACTACTACTACTACTACTACTAATGATAGCAACAATAACAATGATAACCTTAATTCTTTTACTGTTTTTCCAGGACTCATGTTGCAGTGTATGAGCATGAAGGTCTGCAGAAGGATGCAACAGAGGCCCAGTGTTAAGCGCACAGATCTACAATAGGCTAAGCAGGAGAGCAAACACTCAGCTCTGCCTCCTTTTCTGATTTTTCCATCAATGATATGGCATTTTTTCCCATCAAGTCAATTGATTTGGGGATGGTATAATTATTTTACTGTTTTCTTATATAAAAAAACAATTTGATGTTAGAGGAGGTGTGTAAAAGTTAAGAATGTAAACTACTTCTCTTGATTGGTCAACATTTAAAGTATTAGATATCCACCTAGGTAGACTCTATTTCATGGAGGAGCATGACATAGAGAAGTAGAAGCAGTAGAGCCTAAAACGTGGTCCCCAAACAAGAAAAAAAATACCAGATACCCCAAGCTCCTGCTTCTGCCTCTGTCTCTTTGAATATGGTGGTTGTTGTCATGGTAGTAAACTGGAAGGAACTAGAGCCAACATCATACTATTGGGGCATCTAAATCATTTCATAAGTGTCTCTGATGCTTTGTCCAATCATTTGGCTCCTCTAGAGTGCTGAAGGACAGACATATTCTCTAGGTCTGTGCATACCTGAAGTTCTCCACTCACAGTGTTATAGGATCTCAGAGGCCAAGTGTGTGCTGAGAAGACTTGGCCAGCATAGTTCCACATTCCTAAGTCCCCACCCTTATACCTGGTCCTGACCACCAGTCTAGACACTGATTTGCCAATATCTTTTCAATTGTTTTTAATGTGAGATTCCAGGAAGAGCATGGATTTCCAAAAGCATAATATTTCTAGGAAAACATAAACTCTCAAGTTCTGAAACCATAGTTTGAAGAAGGCAGTGGAGGCTTACACTGGGCTCCGAGTCCTGCTGAATTCAAGTCTATTTTCTACTGACTCCTGTGCCATCATCTTAAAATCCCACCCACAAAGGCTATGGTAGACAGCCCCATCTTTTCTAATAATATAGAGGTAAATTGTATTGATTTTCTATTCAGGGAAATCTGAGGTTAAATCTATATTCTGCCTCTTGAACACTGCCTTGTAAATACTTTTCAGTTTTCTATGTATCATACTGTTCTGAGATATACAAAAGACTTTCTGGCTGGGGAAGTACCACCCTTACCAGGGCTAGTAAATTCTTAGAAACAGCAAAGGGTCCAGCAAAGTCCGTGCTGTTGATTGACAGACAAACTGGACAATCCGGTGATGTGGTATATTTGCTTGCACTGGCACTCCAAGACTGATAATAAAGTTAAAGTAGAAGCAGGAGGTAGAGTCAACAACTAGCTAACAGTAACTAGTTGTAGAGATTTTGGAGGACCCAATGTAGGATAGAGAAGTACATGAAAGAAGACAGAGGGGCTTGGAGAGATTCTTGCAGTTTTCCATCTGAAAAATGTGGAAAGGGTCAGTGAATCATGTCTTACCTCTCCCCTTTCTGGATTTGTCAGGTTTTTCTCCCAATATCTGACTCCTGAGTTTTTATTGGTAATAGAACAATTTAGATAAATGATTCAATCCAGAGCCAGGCATTCTCACAGAAGAAAATTTACTTTGTTTTAATCACTACAAAGCCACTAGACTCATGGCTTGGAGCCAAGGGAAATGATTCACAACAGGAAGCTCCAAACTGTCCCCTTGCCTTGCATTACATTTCCTGTAAAGACCATGGGCTGAGGTCGAAGAGATCCTTCCACTGCTATCTTCTGGTCTTTGGCTGCCCTCCAGTCTTCCCCATGTGGTTCTGTGTGGTGTACTGTGCTTCCTGTCTACAACTTTGTTAATGTAGTAAATTTTTTTTGTTGTTTGCTTTTTCTGGAGTCTCTCCTGATTGTAGAAGATACAAACAAGCAAACAGGTGAAACTAGGCCAGTCAGTAAGCCTAAGATGTAACAGGCACTTCCAAACAAAATGCTCATCAAAATACATAAGCTCTAATTGGTTCCAGTTAGGCCGCATTTTCTGAAGGTAGTGCCCAGTTTTCTGTAATACAGGGATGGTACCACCTAGTTCTTGGAATGTTAGATGGTTACATAACCTGGAACCTATAAACAGTTGAGGATGCCTGGAACACAATACACACTGGATGACATACTGCTTGTGTTTGGTTATGGTTTGAACCCTTGTGTCCTCCAAGGTTCAAGTGTTGGAGGTTTAGTCTTTAGGATAGCAATGTCAAAAATGGGAGTGAACCTCTATGGGCAGAGACTCCTAGACAATCCTTCCTTTGATTGTGGTTATGGTCTCAGAAGGAGTTGTGGGACCCCAGTGTCCTTCTGTCTCCTTGTTTCCTGGTGTGATCTCTTGGTCTTATGCATCCTCACACTTCCAGGACACTATTGTTAGTATTTAGGCATATATACTGGCCTGCCTTTGGAGTTCTGACTGGATAAGCCCTCAGCTGCTGCCACTAAGAACACCACCTGTGCCTATTCACTATGTTCCCTTTTAAAAGGACCCTGCCCACCTCCCATCCCTCTCTCTTTCTTTTTTCCCCTTTCTCTGTCTATCTTTTCATTTCTCCCAACCCCCTTTCCTGTCTCCCACTGCTCCTGTCTCCAGAGGCCGGTCTCCCCTCTCACCTTTTTATGGTTCCTTTCCCTAATTAAAAAAAAACCTCTGCTTGAACCTCTCTCAAGCCACTTAAATTACAACTATACACTACAGGGTCTTCATCACAGCCAAGCTAATGCTATAGGTATGACTTTAAACTTCAATAACTGTAGCTAAATAAGCCTCTCTTCTATATAAAGTCAGCTTGTCTTCACTGTTTTACTAGAGAATCTGAAAATAGCAGTTAGAATCATTGCATGTTTGTAAGGATGAAACTGAATAATGCATGTAAAATGACTGGCATAATTTAGTATGTAGGAGGTACTGGATAAGTGCATGTTTTTATTACTAGCTATTATTTTTATTGTGTTAAAATATATATTACAAAATTTACATGAACTCTTTTAAAGTATATAGCCCAGTCTCATTAAGTACAATCATACTTTTTAAAGATTTAGGTTTATTTAAGTGTGTGTGTGTGTGTGTGTGTGTGTGTGTGAGAGAGAGAGAGAGAGAGAGAGAGAGTGTGTGTGTGTGTGTGTGTGTGTGTGTGTGTGTGTGTGTGTGTGTGTGCAGTGCTTATGGAGGTCAGATTCCTAGAAACTGAAGTTATAGGCCCCACTTAAGACATGGGTGTTGGGTCCTGAATTCTGGTCTCTGAAAGGCCAGTATATACTCTAGTCTGCCGAGCCATCTCTCCACCCCCCATTCACACACATTTTTTCTCAACAATAACTATCACCTACTTTCTAGATCACTTTCAAACTAATCCCCCACGCTTTTAAAAAGCAATTCCCATCTTTATTCTTTCTAAGCCTTGGGACTCATCAGTACATCTTTGACTCCAGGATTTTGAATATTTGAGATTCCTCATTCAGATGGAATCACACAGCATTTGTCATTTTGTGCCTAGCTTATTCCATCAGTATGTTTTCTTCAAGGTTCATCCAGAATGCAGCACTTGTGGACTATCCTGGCTTGTTTAGCCCTCCTAGCATTCCACTTTATACACAATTACATTTTGTTTACTCATTGGCTATTTGGGCCACTCCCATCCTCTGGTGGTTATGGATGTTTATGACCAACATCTCTTCTGCTTCTCTGTATTTATAAGTAATTTCCCTATAGTATTTTCCAAGAAAACACATTTTAACTTCTAAATTATCATCTTTTCACCCTTCTGTTACTAATCCAAACAAGGAAGATACAATAATGACACAACACAATCAAGGTCAAACAATACGGCTGGTTGGAGTATTGCTTATAAATTGCCTGGTGCATCTTCCTTGCAAAGTTCAAAGGAGGTGATGCATATGGATGTGTTTTATAAGCTGTGAAACACTGACTGAATAAAAGGAAAAAAAATTCTGGCTTTCTCAGGCATGAGGTCACAGAATGCTTATCTGTTTTTCCTTACCCTCAATGACCAAGCCCAACAGTGTTGTGTGAGTTCTCGGGATGAGCCTGAGAGTTTGGTGCACTTGTGAGCTTGATAACACAAATCCCTTTCTTAGGGTTTGTGTTATCTTAGAATAAACATTAGGGTTTGTGTTTCTTAGAATAAACATTCTAGTCTTCACTGTTCCTGGTTAGAGTGTTAGTTTCTATCTTTTCTTTCTCTCCTTTTTTTTCCTTTTCAGATTAAGAACTGTATTTATTCATTCCATAAAAGCAACTGAAAGGTGTGACAAGTTAAACTGGAGAGTCTGGGCTTTGACCAAGTCCAAAACCAACATGCGTCTCCCTCAAGTGCATGTCACTGAAGACACCAATGCACGCAAAAATTTAATACAAACTACCACGTGACCACCGCTCTTCAGAGCACATCAATCTCCCATTAGATGACTGAGATAGTGTGACACTTAGACCACAATTACAGTGTAAGAAGCACAGTGCAGAACGCTGTGGCCAAGTCACGTAAGAGACTTGTTTTGCTGGATGATCATAGTTGATCAAGTTTGTCAGTTGCTTTATGTGTTTTTATGCTTGTTTGATATTCCTGCCCAGCGAAAGAGTCTTTTAGGGGCACATCTGTCAATGGATTCAATTTCACATTGCTGCGTGACTCTTTCACTTACCCCTGTCTTCTCATCAAAGATTTTGATTCCTCCGAAGGAGATGGTTAAAAAGATTTTCTGTTTGTGTTCTCCTTTGGAACGAGCGCCAGCAACAACACCCTGTTGAAAGGAAGAACATGGCTTTTACTTTAGTGTTTTCATTTGAAAATTCCCTCTGGTCCAAAGGCATGTCAGGTACCATCAGCTAGAACCACCAATCACACACCCTTCCTTTGCCCTTCCGCATGTCTCTACAGCATATTCTCACGTCTGCTTCCTTTGCCCTTCCGCATGTCTCTACAGCATATTCTCACGTCTGCTTCCTTTGCCCTTCCGCATGTCTCTACAGCATATTCTCACGTCTGCTTTATGTTTTAAGGTAATAGTGGTTTTGGCTGGTCTATCATGGAGTAAATATGTAACTAGCCATCAAATATAGGGAATGCCTTTGTGCTGCAATATATGGCTCAGAGCTGGGACAGACTACATAAGATGGAAATAATATGACCCTCATATTAATATCTGTGGTGGGTTTTTATATTGAATATGAATTTAATCTTTTAAATGAAGTAAGTTACTCAGCATAGTCTCAAAGATCATATTTTTATACTCCAGGGGTATTTCTTGCATGAATGAATTCTAGACATTAGAAAGAAGCAAAGGTATGTTAAACATGACCACATCTCCTTCCTTCCCTCTGTTTTTGGCAAAACATGATCATAATAATTTATGCATGGTATTTGTAATAGGCCCTCAAAAACAATTATATTCTCCATTATCTTCCCTTGCCATTCTTGTATTTTTTGGTAAAACACATACTAAATACATTGTTTCCCATTGGCCCATATGTTTTATAATCTCTCTCTCTCTCTCTCTCTCTCTCTCTCTCTCTCTCTCTCTCTCTCTCGTGTGTGTGTGTGTGTGTGTGTACCCACAAGAAGGTAAACCTCACAGAAGACTGAGGTATGACTTTGTTCTCTATTCTAGCCCTAGGGCTTAGGACATTACCCCTGTCTACTGGTGCATGTAGCAGGTGCTCATTAGGTAACTATAAATGAGTCTGTACTATCCACTTCAAGGTTTATGTGACTCAAGTTAGTAAAGCCATTTACTTTTTAAAGTTAGACTTTGTGGTGGCAGACTTTTGACTAGGGCACACTTGGCAGGTAAGGACATTTCAGAGATTTCCACATGTTCCAGGCTGTTATTCACCCAGCACTAGGCATCTCAAAGTCTCCATTCCTGCATCACTGTTTAAGAGTAGGTTCAGTTCCCAGAAGTAGCTGCACTGGGCTTTGGGCATAGACAAATAATATTGACAAACAAATGTGAAATAATACTGACTTCACAGTTCTAGGAGGTCGTCACGCTTTGTGTTGCTCTCAGATCATGATATTCCAACAATTCATTTGAGGAGTAACTGATGGGGGAGAACCATCAGTACAGCCAGAGGTACGAGGAGGGGCCCTGCTATGAAATTGTGTGATTATCTTTACTTAAGGTATTGGAAATCATCTCCACTCTACAATATCTGATTATACTCCTGGTTCTGGGCAAAGGACCTCACAAGAACTCTATTTCCCCAAGTATAAGTTCTGTTTCTCATACACTTATGCTTCTGTTCTTGGTTCTCCAGGTTCTATCTTTGGGACTCCTCTGTTCCATAGTTTCAATTATCACTCTTCTACCCAAGGAATCTGAAAGTTGATTTAAGTCAGAGATGTGTGGCTACCAGGGAGTACCTTAGAGGTAAAAGAATACAATCAAGCTGAGAAAAAGATAAGTTAGTCCCCAAAACAGAACATGATACAATCAAGCACTAAACTATTACCTGTTAACCACTGGGCTTTAGGAGGTCTAGTTTTTAGTTCTCAGAAAGGGTGTGGAAGAAATACTTTAACTTCTCTGAATATAGCGTTTATAATTACAAACAGAGAATCCTATCTCTAGCTTGTAAGACTGAAGCTGATGTATGCGAAGGTGCCTGGCTGATCATAAGTTGAAATGCAGTGATGGTCTGGTCTGGCTAGACAGTGGGCCCCTCATACTCACACAGAGACTGTCTAGAACCTCCACAATGCAGGAGAAAATTCTCTAATGGGTGATGCATCAGCTTCAGTCTAACAAAGGGGATCTTTTCTTTTATTTTTCCCCCAGTTCTCATATGGTCTAATAGGAGCAAGTGGGCCTTTTTTCAAGGCTAAAAGGAATTTTGTAGTTCTCTGTCTCTTTCCTGGGCAGGTGGCCAAATGCAGAATCGATCAGTTATGTTTCTGTGCTTCTTACAGAAAAACCACTGGGGGCTGAAATGTCAACATTCTTCTCAGCAGGTTGCAAAGAATGAAACACAATTGTCTGGAAATGAAGAACCCCTCGATATGACCGGAGCCTGATATAGCAGGATAAACTCCCTGGGCCTTGGGGTCTTATGATTATAAGGGAAGATGGAGTGTTTCACTGCAGGTAACACACACACACACACACACACACACACACACACACACACACACACACACACACACACACACACACACTGGCACCCATAGGTAGATCTGGTCCATCTATCAGGGCTCATTGTTAATACAAGGATAAACTCCAGGGACCAGAGCAAACTGTTGCTTCACACCCACTTAAGCCCAGGGTGCTTCTATGGAGGACAGTAATGCTCTCAATCACTGGTACCTGATAAAAAGCTTCTCCTGGTTGCTGGAGAAAGGGGATGCAGAACTCCTCTCTCCTCCACAGATAAGATGCTCTGGGTGAGAACCAGGTCTGTGCACATGGAGGATTTAGGAGTGGCATTTTTGCTGTCTTTAAATGAAGCATTGTCTGGTGCAAATCTCCACTAATTTGCCAGGCTTCAATTACAACAGGAAGAATCAAGCTCTGGGCTTTTAAGTGGGTTTGTGACCATAGTTCTGTTGGGATGGTGGGAGTGGCTCTGTGAGACAGGGACACATGAGGCTCAGTCTCTCTGGGTTACAGCTGTGTCCTAGCAGACGGGCTGCATTCTAATTTCATGTATGTCTAAGCAGAGTCTGGGCTCTACTTTGGTTGGGAGTCAGACAACAGTGGGGAGAACAGAGAATTCTCCTATAAGCCAAACGTCATAGCCTATGCTGTTCAAAGCTCTGCCCGGGGCCCTGTTTCCCAGTCACATCCTCTAGTCCAGCATTCATCAGTCACAAAGCAGGCCGTGGGAATCTTCTTGCCTGACTGCCTCCCTATTCATCATTCAGGATGGATTTTAGAAGAGAAAGAGGGCTCATTATTGAGCTGCCCTGAAATCTCATAACACGGCTTCATTATCTGAAAAAAAATTTCACTAACCTCTTTCAAGGTGAAAGTGTGAAATTTGATTTCATTGTTTTTGATACCCTTTTCTAATATACCTTAGGTTAAGTACTCATTGATTTTTTAAAAAGTTTGTTTGTATAACATTTTAGATAGCAAAAGTAAGAATGCAGAACATAGAAAATTAAATAGTTAAAAAAATTCTGTTATTTGAAGCCATGCCACTGGGAGACAACATCTGCCAGACATGTTAAAGTGCTATGAAACACAGTATAGCATGAACAAAAAATAATATCTGTGACTCATTAAGCATATAAGAAAAAGATGATGCAGATAGTAATTAGCAATCTTCTGTCATTTAAATACCTTTGGGCACTTTGCCTTTTCTTATACTTCAAAATATTCCACTGACCTAGTAGTGTCTTATAGACTGTATGAAGATATGAAAAAAACGTTTACCTGTATATATTATGAGATAAAACAAAACCAGATTATGAAACTATATAAACTGTCATCTATTTGCTGATGTTATAGAAGTAAAACAACTGAAGATCAAACACAAAAAGTGTCAACTCCCATTTACTTTTGTGGGATTTCAGATGATTTTAGTTTACCCCTGATATTTTTCAGCACTTTCAAAGTACTTTATAATTAGAGTTTGTATTGAGAAAAATGAATTTTGCAGTGTTAAATGCATAAAACAGGACCCTTGTTAGATCCTGTGCATTTCTAATATTTATACCACATTTTTAAAAGTTCACAGGATATGTAGATCAACATCTGGGGAAACGAGCTCCTTTCTGTGTGTCTTTAAGACTGCTGGGAAAAAGAGCGCACTACTTGCTGGTTCTATTTAAGTGGTTTTCTAGCTTATTTCTCCGGTTTTCCTTGCAAAGCTGGCTTTGCCGTGTCTAGCTGCACATCGCTTCAGTGAAGCTGCCTTTCCTTTGTTAGGAAACGTTTGGGTGTGATTCTTATTATTACAAGGATGAATACAACCAACTTTGTACCTTAACATCTGTCACTAGAGGACAAGTGAGGAAAACATCTTAAAAAAAATAACAAAACAGCAAAAAATCGAAATATGTGAGGAACTGCAGAATGTGATCATTTTTGCGGTTTTATTTTTGCAGGGGATTTACAAGGATGTTAACACCGAAGAAACCATGATCCACTCAAGGAGCATGAACCAGGCCCGAGTAACAACCTCCATAAAGTAAGTGTCCAGTCAGTGTTTCTAAGCCACTGAAGTTTCCTCCTAGAGAGAAAACATGGTGATTCAGCCAGGAGCCAAACCCTCAAGCACAGTACCGGAGATTGGTTCTTTCCCCCACTCGTGTTAAACCAGAGCTAATCATAAAGAAACGCTAACACAGCACCTTGAGCTTCATCATAGAATCTTGACATAACTTGTCTCCCCGAGCAGCAGAAACTTCATCAATCCCAATCAGTTTGGCTTTGTAGCGGACCCCTTCACCTTTAAACCTCTTTATCAAAGTGGCTTCACTGCGATCCTGACCTGGAAACAAAGAAAAAATAGATTCAGGATCAAGCATGCTGAAACTCTGCTGGCTTTAAAAACTTACCATTCGGAGATCTGCTTCCCCCTTACACGTACATACTAGGAAAGTCAAATCAAAAATAGGATCTTTAGCTGCAAACTCTGGCTCCACACATTTAAATACTGAGGCAGTTTACCTCTTCTCTGAGCCTCAGGCTTTTGAACAGAAAAAGAAACCTTAAAAATAATCATCGAGGTGGAGCAATAAGCAAAATCAGATAATTTGGGTAACACAAGTAATTTGCTTTTAATACGTGATAGGTACTTCACTAAAAGTCATTGTCAACTAAGGGTTTAGGTCCAAAAGTCTTGCTGGAATAGCATCAGCACCAAGTTTCCAGTATTGATATGGCCAGGATGCAAGATCCTTGATACACCTGATTCCATGAGCTGCCTTATTGTAAAGGTCCAGAATAATTTCTTTGCATCAAGTAATAACACTGAACAATTATTAAAAAATTTATGAAACTGCTTCTGATTAACTCAGATATGCAGGGAAAGTAGGCTGCCACAGTATTTGGTATTATTGAGTGACTGTACCTTGCAACAGGCTCTCTTAATAACTATTAACATGATATTTTGCTACATACATCAATCAGGAATTCAAGCATGCCACATAGAAAAAGAAATGTAGAGATGTTTATTATACACTCTATACCCATTCTTCAAAAGCCAAACCATTGCCATATTACAAAGAAAGGTATAAAATTAAGCAGCTTGTTCACAGAGTCAAAAATTAGAGGACAATATAGTAATTTTAACACTTGCCACACTTTTCCTAGTCAGGTATCTGGACTAGGGTTCCAGAAATCTGGATTCTCTCAGGTCTCTAGTACTCACCACAGGCTCTAATTCCTGATTATTCTCTCTCACGATTCCCCTCACACCAACAAACCTGAGCTGAGGACTTCAGGGATAAATCAGGCAACTTCTCTCTATCTACAGTAGGAGACTGAGACTGTTCTGAAGACCCCAACAATAGCTAACCAGAGCATAGGACTTCCCTCTTTATGAGCCCCGAGTTTCATTCCTTGCATTTACTCATCCTTCCATTAGTGATACCATTACTTGTTGGCAACTAATGAAGAAGAGACAATCTATACCCCTAGAAACTCAAGGTTGTGTGTGTGTGTATGTGTGTGTGTATGACTATAAATAAAAAGTGCAAAATGCATTATGGCAGGTGTGTAAAAAGGTTGTCACAGTGCATCAACTAAACTTCATTTTCTATCTATGGAAGGACAGTAAAGTAGCCACTGTCTTACAGAGAGCCAACAGTAATTTAAAGGAGAGTAAAGCATGTGCTCTTCTTCAGAGTACTCTTTCTGTAAATAGTAGCTGTCTTTCTGTGATTGGACCAATAAAAGCACCACTTAGAGATACCATGTGGGGGAGAAGGGATGGCTGTAGGGACAAGTCTAAATTTGTCCAACTTGTTTCCAACTTTTAGCAGTCATTTTGTCACTGAATTCTATGACTTCTACTCTATCAATAGCTTTTTTTTTACTGGAGTTTTCTTATCCTGCCAGGTCCTGCCGCCCTTCTCAGCCCCAAGAGACATACATTAATTATTATACTGCTGATGGCTAGGGCTTCTTATTGGCCAGCTCTGTCTTATCTTACTGGAGAAGGGTCGGGACCTGTTATTTCTTCCTTTGCTACATGGCATACCTTTCTGGTGGACTCTGTGTGCATACCTTTCCCAGAATTCTCCTCACCTCCTACTCCCACCTATCTTCCTGCCTCTATTGGTCAAACAGTGTTTTATTCATCAATCAATAAGAGAAACATATTACAGAAGAGCATCCTCCATCAAGCTTTAATAAAATTTCCTGAAAGCAAATGATTTAAATACAGGCATATAAAAATATATAAATATGAAGAAATATAAAATATATTTTATAATATACAAACACATAAATAGAAATATTCATATGATATATATTATATCAGTAATATAAAATATATAAAAGGAATATAAAAATTTTTTTTGGTTTTACCAGACAGGGTTTCTCTGTTTTGGAGGCTGTCGGTCCAGCCTGGCCTCGAACTCACAGAAATCCGCCTGCCTCTGCCTCCCGAGTGCTGGGATTAAAGGGGAATATAAAAATTAAACATCAGGCCGGGCATTGGTGGCGCACGCCTTTAATCCCAGCACTCAGGAGGCAGAGGCAGGCGGATATCTGTGAGTTCGAGGCCAGCCTGGTCTACAAAGTGAGTTCCAGACCAGCCTCCAAAGCTACAGAGAAACCCTGTCTCGAAAAACCAAAAAAAAAAAAAAATTAAACATCAGAGTTCAATGGGGAGAGAGGTTAGAGGCTGGAGTTGGCATTATCTGTCACTGTATCCCATTTTTGACATGCATCTAAGCAAGTTGGCTTATGAAACACAGGCTTTCTCCCGTCTGCTATGCTAAGTTTGGCGACAGCAGACTATATGTTGGTCTAAGACTTCTTGAGAAGATTATACTCCATCTCATATAATAAACACATGAAACTGTTCTTGACAACCAACAACACTCCTTTCACTACCCAGACTATCTTAAAGTGCAACTGCAAGAGTGATAGAAGGAATCGCCTACTAGGAATACGCCTCACATCTCACCTGACTATCCCTGAATAAGGTAGGCATCCTTATACAGACCCACACTGGAAGGGAACATCTGAGAGGTCATCAAACCCACCCATACTCATCTAGAAGGACGTGTACACATTTGCCCAATGCCAAAACTCAGATATGGATTGGCACACACTGTGTTCGAAGCCTGTTCTTTTTAACAACTGATTAATTGTTTTTCATCTATCCAACTTCCCTTTGAATCCCCAATTTTACCTTGCACCAGAACTTACCTGGCCCATATCCATTGTTCCTAAATATAAACACACTGGAACTGAAAAAAAATTCTGTTGGGACATGAAGGGAAGCTGAATATGGAATAAATGGCTTCCAGAAAACTAGTCATGTCCAAAAACTGCCCTTGGTCAGATACAAAGAGCATGATGAAGCATGTGTCAGGGCAGAGTTTGCTGCTGAGGAGAGATTCACATGAGGAGGCAGGGCAGGTGGAAAGGGCAGGGATTAATAAGAAAATATTAGGCCATTTAGAGGAAAGTAGGGAGCCCAATTTAGATCAGGACCCAGGGCCAAGCTAATTTGTATGAAGGGCACTTATGCAGTAGAAAATCCAGTTTCTCATTAAATGCTCTACCATTAAAAGGGTAATTTTTCATAAGCACATCTTGAACAAGGTCTCAGTTATATTAGTTAAAAAATAAATAACAGATATCAGAGCCCTAAGTGTGTGATCTCACTAGAGTACACGCAAGGGGAGCGGTAGGGTCATCCCTGCAGCTTGTTCTAGGCCATTTTGTCTAAAAGCAAACAGTGAAGCCACAGTTCAGGACAGGCAAAGCAGAGGTGACTTGTTAAGCAAACTCCAACAATGCTCACCATCTATTACCCAGTGTTTTTACTGTGTCCATTACTTCGCCAGGAGTTTCGCATCATGCAATGTTTCCTTTAGTATTTTGCCTGCTCTTTGAGTTAGGCTGTGTAATGAGCACTATGTCACAGAAGAAGGCACCAGTACTCAAAGTCAATATTAGATGTAGTAATACCACATTCACAGCCTACAAAATCCATGTAAAGTATACATACAAGAAGTGAGGTTAGGATATTAACAGAATGTCCAGTCATCGCTTCTATCTAATTTTAGAACATGTTTTGCTTCGAAAAGATGCCTCACAGTTATTGCTGTCATTCGCTGTTGTAGTTTGAATTCTAAACGTCTCTCTGAGGTTCTGATTTCATGAACAAGAATAATTAACAGCACCACAAGCAGGAGATGATCTGGGAAGGATCTTAAGCCACATTCTCCAAGTAATCTGACAACTGAGTTTTTAGAATCTCATTGATTTGAATTCCAAAGGAGGAAGATATTGGGTTTCCATAGGATTAAACTGTTGCCTGGAAACCAAGGCTCCTGCTGGAGAGTAAGAGGGAAGGCCTGGATTCAGGATGCTCTCTCTCACTACACTTTCACATAAGCTACTATACAGCTATCTTTCAGCTGTGCGGGGCTTCTGTCTTGCTGTGTTTGATGGACATTTCTGGAGGGAAGATGGTCTCCCACGCATCTCTGAGTGGAAATCATCCACAATTACATTTATAATTAATATCTCACCAAGAGCTTGAACTATATTATAAGTGTTGTGCATTTCACATATAATCACAGCAAACCAATGTGAACTTTAGACACAAAAAGAGAAACTCTACATTGATATATATATATATATAAAAACAATCGTGCAAAAAGAAAACTCAGGTATTCCTAAATCTGCAAAACTTGACCCCACCCCAAGGGCATTTTATATATTGCCACAAGGAAAATAGCTTGAATCTGTAACTCAAACACTGGACTATTTCTGCACAAATGGTATACATGCACTCTTGGCAATCACTCATTTACTTTATTGCTTACTTTATATTAAACCTTTAGTATAAATTCCAAACATAAATAGATGTCTCATAGTCCTGTGTCCCAATGTATTATCTGCATACCCAGGGGAGTATTTGCATCTCACAGTTTCCTTGCAGATAGTTCTGCCTGAAAAATAGCATCTTGAGAAGTCCTCAGGGAGTCTCAGTAAACTGACAACACTAACAAGATGTGTGTATTTCCAGAACTCTACTCTGCTGACTTCTGCAGAGTGTTGTGGGGAGCCCTGAGGCTATTGTCTTTAATCCCCTGTGGGGTAGGGTGGGCTGCATGGACATCATTGGAGAGCACCTGGAGCATCACAGGCGTGACGGTGGCTATGCCTCCATGTTCTTAGGTCTGAAGAAGTTTCATGTATCTGTAAATGAGCTCATGCTGGACTATAGGAGGGTTTCTGGTGGTTAGATGAGAGCCAGCATTCCTCAGAAGCATGTTCCCATCTGCCAAAAGGAGCTATTTT